GGGCTCAGCCCAGGGCAGAGCACTCCAGGCAGCACTCCTGGCTGAGGAGCAGCTTGAGCAGAGGATAAGGAGTCGGTTTTTCGGAAGTGAGTGCCGGATGTGTGGGAGTCAAGGCTGGAAAAGTCACAGCCCACTTGGAAGGGTTTGAATGCTGGAGTAGAAGCTCGGACTTGGTCCTTTTGTTAGCAGGATGCCACAGAAGGGTTGCAGTGGGGGCCAGCTCAGCCTGCCCCTGGGGAAATCGCAGGCCTCGCTCCTGCCCCCTAGAGGTTCAAGTACCACCTCATATCCTCCCCCTCCCTTCAAAAAAAGGTCAGGAACTGGGCTGGACTGGCCTGGCTGAGGTGACCTTGATCTTCTCCTGTCTCCAGAGAGATCTTAGTGGAGGAGAGCAACGTGCAGAGGGTGGACTCGCCAGTCACAGTGAGTACCCCTGTCCCAGAGCCACACAGGCATTCCCCTTAGCCTTGCAGGCTGCCTATGTCCACCTCTCGTTCCTGGGGACCCAGAAAGCCCCTTCTGTCTTCAAGGGTGCCCAGCTTTAAGAAGTGGATGTTATAGGAAGGGTCTGTTATTGGTGGGAGATACTCTTGGCCAGAGCAGGAGGACTAATTGGTGGGTGGTTCTACTCCACATGTTTCTGTGGCCCTGTGTTAGTAACTTTATTTTGGGTAACTTAAGGGGAGTGGGAGGAAGAGGGGCCCAGGTCCTCTAGGAGCTGCAAGGCTAGCTGGAGAGATGTGTCCCTAACTCTTGCCCCCAGAACCATTGGCACTCAGTGTTGGAAGATGGGTGACTCCAGATCTGGCTTATTTAGGGTGGGAGAGTAGGCTCTTGTTTCTGAGAAGTGGAGGCTTAGTCAAGTGTCTCAGTTATGTAGTGCTGCTATGACAAGAATACAAGTGGTGGCTTTCACAAACATTTATTTTCCCACACTTGAGGAGGCTGGAAGTCTGAATTCAGAGTGCTGGCTGTAGGGGAAGGCTTTCAGAGCTCTCTGGGCTATGGGGGAAGGGCCTTATCTCTTCTCAGCTTCTGTTTCTCCTTCCTTGATCTTCATGTGGTGTGGTATCTGTCTTCCCCATCTCTGCTTCCTTAACTCTTGCTTAATCTGCTCTACTGTGGGCTCAAGAGAGATTGATTTAAGACACCCTACACTAACCCCACCTCATTAACATAACAAAACCCACTCTCAAATGGTATTATAACCACAGATACAGGCATTAGGATGTTGTGGGGGACAGATTCAATCCATAACACCAAGTAAGATTATAAAGCAATGGGTGCTTTGAGGGGTACCCCCTGGAAACAGACTTTTGGGCTTTGTGAGTGAGTTCCAACCCACCTCACTTCCCAGGTATGTGGCGACATCCATGGACAATTCTATGACCTCAAGGAGCTTTTCAGAGTGAGTAAGAGGGAAATACCGGACAAGGAGACTCGGGGGTGGAGGCGGTGAGGAAGACTTCTCTAATTTAGAGTGGAGCCTTTGATTTACTAAGTGGAGAGGGGTCGGGAGACCTCCAGTTAGATGAGGTTCTTTGTGAAAGAAGGGCCTCAACTTGACAGGAGACTGAACTTAGAACCCAGTGAAACTGAAACTTCTTCCTCCCCCAGGTGGGTGGCGACGTCCCTGAGACCAACTACCTCTTCATGGGGGACTTTGTGGACCGTGGTTTCTATAGCGTCGAAACGTTCCTCCTCCTGCTGGCACTTAAGGTGGGAGCCCCTGGCTTCTGGACCCCACATCTCAGCCTTCTCAGTTGTGAGCGGGCTGTTCTCTTCACCTTCATCTCCCACTCCCACCACCCAGCACTGAGCTGTGGTGTCCACAACCCTGCAGTGTCCCTAGCACAGGAACAGATAGATGGATGGAGTCCACTTGGATGGGAAGTAGTCAAAGGCGGCTTTCTTGACGTAGGGGCATCTGATTAGGCCTTTTGAGGATGAGATTAACAGGGGTGGCATTCCAGGGAAGGAAATAAAAGGCCCGGATTGTTCAGAGTGCAAGGATTGTTCAGAGTGGCAAGTCATTGAGTACAGCTGGATTCAGTATCCACTGATGGGAAAAGAAGTTACAAGGGGCCAGATGACAGAGGGCTCTGAATGTCTTGCTAATGAGTCTGTATCTGATAAATGAATGACGGGTTGTTAGGTTGTAGGTTGTAGGTTGATGGAGTGGAGTCAGGTTGGCATCCTCTGAAGGGCCTAGGGGCCTGTGGGTGGTTGCAACATGATTCTGGCAACAGATTGATACATGACTCAGGCCTGGGGCAACAGTGATGGGGAGGGAGTGTGGGGGCGGTGACTGGGGAGAGGGACAGTTGGGTTACCAGGGAGGGACTGAGCCTAGACTAAGCCCCAGCTTGGTGGCCTCCTCCAGGTTCGCTATCCTGACCGCATCACCCTGATTCGGGGCAACCACGAGAGCCGCCAGATCACCCAGGTCTACGGCTTCTATGACGAGTGCCTGCGCAAGTATGGCTCGGTGACCGTGTGGCGCTACTGCACTGAGATCTTCGACTACCTCAGCCTGTCGGCCATCATCGACGGCAAGGTGGGCTGGCCACGGGCCCCGGGGGGGGTGGGGTGGCAGAGGCCCTGGGGCTCAGTCCCCCCTCCCCCCACTCGCTCTCCCTTGTAGATCTTCTGTGTGCACGGGGGCCTGTCCCCCTCCATCCAGACCCTGGACCAGATCCGGACAATCGACCGGAAGCAAGAGGTGCCTCATGATGGGCCCATGTGTGACCTGCTCTGGTCCGACCCTGAAGGTGAGGGCAGGTGGAAGACACCTGAGGGGGCCTTGAAGGGACAGTCAGGTCAGGTCAGGTGAGTTTCAGGCACAGCAGGCTAGCCTCATCATCGTCGCCTTTTATGTTAGCCCTGCGGACTGGCTGGAACCCGCCAGTGAGGGCCAGGTGGCCAGGGCATGTGTGTCACGGCTCAGGAGGTTGTTTAGGACGAAATCGTTAGCTCTGTAAATGTGAAGGGACCTTAGTACCCGCCAGCAGCTTCTGCAGAGGTCACACTTCCAGAGTGATAGCCTCTGGGGATCCCTCATTCTGTGGGGTTCCCCAGCTAGAATGGGGCAGAGCCAGGAAATAAAGCCAGATCTCCCACCAGTCCCAGCCCACCCTGTTACGGCACAGGGTGACCTGCCCCCTGGTTTGCCCCAACAGCCCTAATCGCCACTGGCATTGTAACCGATGCCTCCTTTCATTCCCATGTGTACTGGTTCACCCAGTAAACTACATTCTCCCCCTGTTTGTGAGGTGGTCTCAGCTATTGGGAAATTCTCCTTTGGAGTTTATCGGCTCTGGCATCTCCAGGCCCCATGCCCTTGCTCCACAGGCCTCTGCTTAATAGGGAGATGTGGGCAGGATATTCACATAAGAGGGACCCAGGGGCAACCAGAGAACCCTTGAGATAAGCCTCTCCCCGACCCCTATTTTTACTTGCCTCAGATACAACAGGCTGGGGGGTGAGCCCCCGTGGGGCCGGTTACCTATTTGGGAGCGACGTGGTGGCCCAGTTCAATGCAGCCAACGACATTGACATGATCTGCCGCGCCCACCAGCTAGTGATGGAAGGTTACAAGTGGCACTTCAACGAGACTGTGCTGACGGTGTGGTCGGCACCCAACTACTGCTACCGGTGAGCTGGCTGGGCCAGGCGGTCTGGTGGGGGCGAGGGATCTAGGCTGACCCTCCTTAAACACTGCTGAACGCCCACTTCCAGCTGTGGGAATGTGGCTGCCATCTTGGAGCTGGACGAACATCTCCAGAAAGATTTCATCATATTTGAGGCTGCTCCCCAGGAGACTCGGGGCATCCCCTCCAAGAAGCCTGTGGCCGACTACTTCCTGTGACTCCTTCGGCCCCAAGCCCCCCTCCAACCCCTCCAGCCCTCGGACCACTGTGACTCTGCCCTCTCCCCAGACAGAGGCTGGGCCTGGGGGGGCGTCCCCAGCTCTGCCTTCCCTCCACTGAGAGGGCACTAGGAGGGTGAGGACTTCTCTGGAGAGGTCGGCCGGAGCCCTCAGCTCCACACGCCCCCTCTCCTCTTTCCCCACTTTAACCATGAAGTTTCCAATAATTGTTGGTTTTTTTTTTTTTTTCTTTTTCTTTTTTTGTTTTGTTTTTAGATAAAAATTTTGAAAAAAAAAACTGAAAAAAAAAAATTCTAATAAAAGAAGAAAAACGGATTTTGGGTCTATGTCAGACTTGATGGGGGATGAGCAAGTATAGAGATCAGGGCTCTGACTGCCCCAGAGCCCTTGTCTTCCAGGAAGGTGAGGCTTAGGCTGGTGGGCTTGCGCAGAGCCTCCAGGGCCCACCTAGTAACAGAGCTGCCCACCAGGGCTACCTGAGCGCACAGTGGAGGGCAGAGGGTGCCTAGAACAGATTGATTGCTCAGAACAACTAGTGTTAGGTTTATGTTCCCCCGTTTTCTTGAAGAGTAAACTGAGGCCCAGGCCAGTGGATTTATGTGCACAAGGTCAGGCGGCTGGAAGGGGGCAGGTCTGGATTGGGGCTTGGGCCTCACAAGGCCTCTGCTCACCCAGCCCCACCCAGTGCCAAACACCATTAGCCCAACTTCCAGAGCACTGGTGCCTCTCAAGTTTTATTAACAAAAATACTCTGGTCCTGGGAACAGATTGGTGGCTTGTACTCGGGCAAGGGGGTAGAACATGCCCGAGCCCAAGGGTGAGGCCCGGGAGGTGGGGGTGCTGGCCTGTGGCCCCATTTGGCCAGGCAGAGCCTCCCTCCATTCACACCAAGGTGAGAGCTGAGGAGGGGAAGCCGGCCCCAGCTGGACTCGGCATCCCTGCTCAGGCTTTGAAGCCAGAGGGGGCTGGGAGTGGAATCAAAGTGTGAAGGGGGCAGGCCTGAGGCAGCCATTTGGTGTGGGGGATGGGGCCCGTGGGAGTGAGGGGGCTACAGGGCTGGGGGAAGGGGAGCTGGAGGTTTGTGATGGAGGACATGGTGGCCAGTAATGGCTCAGTACATTGGTTTGGAGCCCACATCCAGGTAACCCCCAGGTCCTGGGTAGGATAGGGGGAAAGGGCCCCCTTGGAGGAAGTGAGGGGCAAAGGGTGCTGTAGGTTGAGCCACTGGGTACCCTGAGCCCCCGGGCCCGGGCTGCAGCTCGAGGAAGGAAGCTGAGTAGGGGCCTGACTGCCCAGAGTCTGGAACCTCAGGGAAGTTAGGGGTCCTAAAGCAGAGAGGTGTATCAGATCGGGGGGAGGGAGGGACCCCCGGCCCGGCCCTGTGTCCTGTCCCACTCACCTGGTTGGAAGGTGACCGGGGGCCCCGTGGAAGGCTGCAGGGTGCAAAAGGTAGGCCTCGGCACTGGGGCCCCCACAGGGAGGCACTGGAGCTGAGGGGGCGCCCCGAGTTGCTGCGGCCTGCTCTGGCTCTGGCTCACGTACGTCCCCGCCCAGTGTGGAATCGCAGGGCCCACCGGGTGTATCTGAGGACACACAAGGGACGGGCGGGGGGCTGCAGAGGGAGGGCAAGGCAAGCCTGGCCCCCACCACTGCTGGGGCTGCACTCACCTCCGCTCCCATAGGCCTTTGTGGCAACTGGTTCTGGGCCCCGAAGTTTCCTCTTCACACGGGCATCTCGCTCCCTGGGGAACAGTGATGATGAGATGATGATGATGATGGTGGTGCTGGTGATGATAATAGCACGTACCAGGTGCCAGGCATTTCACCCTCCCAGGGACCCTATCGGGGAGGTGCCATTGTACCCATTTAACAGATGAAAGAACTGAAAGCCAGAGAATTAAGCAACCAGGAAGTGGCAGAGCTGGCTTTTCAATGGTTTCCTATTGCATTGAAGATCCATGAGACTTCCTCCCAAGCTACAAAGGTCCTGCGTGGTCTGACCCCGGCTCCTCCCACCTTACTCCTGCTCCATCTATGCCAGCTGTCTTTCCGTCCCTCTTAACTTGCCAACCAACTCGAGGCCTCTCTCTGGGATCTTCTGTCTCTTTTTCACCTGCTTATCTCATACTTTTCATCTTAGTTCAAGTATGATTTCCTTAAGGAAGTTCTCCCTGATGTCTGAGCACCACACACCCTCCCAGATACCCTTTGTCATGGACACAGTTTTTATATTTATTAGGATGATACTTCAGGAATGTCTGTCTCTTCTGACAATACATCTGGAGGGCAGGAGCCAGCTCTGGGAGCCTGTATTCAGCCTAGAAGCTAAGTCCTTACTTTTACTGTCCACCAGTCTCTTGCCATCACCTTTGACCTCATGTCTGACTCACCCATTCACTCCACTGCAGCCACACTGTAGGCATGGCTCCCACCTCAGGGCCTTTGCACATGCTGTTCCCACCTTCTGGCATGCTTTTCCCCAGATAGCCACTGGCTCACTCCCTTGCTTCCTTCAGATCTTTTCTCAAATGTCCTCACCTCAGTGAACTACTTCCAGGCCTTCTAATATCTCACTATAGTCCTTTTTATTTTCCTTCCCTGCTTGCTTGCTTTTCTCTTTGGACATTATCCTTAATAGTAACATTTATCTATCTTGTTTACTGTCTGCTCTGCCCGCTAGAATATCAGTTCTATGAGGACAGGGGCCTTGGTTTACTTATCCACATGCCTAGAACTGCCTGGCACGTCCAAAAACCAAACCCACAACCTCCACCAAGTGGATGCCAACTGCTAGCAATCCCCATTGGGTTTTCAGGGCTGTAAATCTTTGTAAGTAGATTGCCTCATCCTCCTCCTACGGACCAGCTGGTGGGTTTGAACCGCTGATATCCTGGTTGGCAGCCAAATGTCTTACTCACTGTACCACCAGAGCTCTCTTGTGCCTGGCACATAGCAGATGCTTTTAAGTTATTGTCGTTTTCACTTACCATTGGGCTCCTGGCATCCAGCACAGTGCCTGGCACATTGTGGGTGATAAGCACACAGTTGCTGAATGTGTGAGTGAACAATGCCTACCTCTTACAGTTTCTGCCATTCTCCCGGAAACCCTTGGCAAAAGGGTTGGCTGCGATCTTCAGTTGTGTGATCTGGGGGCACACACACACATACAGAAAGGAAAAAAAACACCTCACTACCATTGAGTTGATTCGACTCATAGAAACCCCTCCTTGGGTTTCCGAGGGGGCATCTCTACGGAAGTAGATTGCCCAATCTTCCTTCCGAGGAGTGGCAGGTGGGTTTGAACTGCCAGCCTTCTGGTTAGCAGTCAAATGCCTTAGGTACTATGCAGTCAGGGTCATAGCTCTTGCAGCCTGGGTAGGGTACCACCACCCCCCCAAAGCAGGGCCACTCACCCGTGGGTTCTGGTAGGCTGTCACGGAGATGAACGTGGTCTCTGGAAAGCGGAAGGAGGCGACGCCCCCCCAGTGTTGGCTGCAAAGCTGAGTGGCCCGCACCAGGTGTATGCGGGGCTGGTATTTGTGCATAGAATGCAAGATCAGCTGAGAGGGAAGAAAATGGAGTGACTGCCTGCTTCTGGCCCTGGCCTTGACCTCCCATCAGAACCACCCCCAGCCCCTATCCTGCAGTCCCAGCCTGGGCCTCACGTGGCCGTGGGGGTCCAGCGTGCTGTTGGTGAGCTTGACGCGATGAAAAGACACAGGTTGCCGCATCCAGTGGGCTCCGGTGGCAGGAGAGTCGGGATGAATGTAGACACGGTCAGGCAGGCGGGGTTCGGCCTTGCCGCTGGGCTCCCAGCGCCGGCCCTGCCAGCGGTAGCGGGCCCCATCCACTGGAACCACATCCAGAAGAAACAGGTAACGGGCCTCAGGGTCTAGGCCTGTGACTGACACTCGGCATGCTGGGAACATACGCCTGGACAGGGGAGGGGATGAGAGAGGCCTGGAGCTACCCATTGGCCAGGAACCGGCTCACCCAGTTCTGTCAGAGAAGCACTGAGGGAGGTGGAATTTGAACTCAGAAGGCAGAATCTTAGGGCTGAAAGGTTGTCTGGTCCCATTTTACAGATGGGGAAATGAGACGGCCAGATGAGGGGATCTGACCAAGATGATACCACAGGTTAGGAACAGAGCTAGGCTCCCTGACTGCCAGCCCCTCAAACTCTACTTGCAGAAGTATGGTGACAAACTTTGCTCCCTGCAGTCTTGCCAGGAGCCTCCTGGTCTCCTCACCTGATCTCCAGCCTCAGAATCTGCAACCTGCTGGACAAATTCTCTTCAAAAATTATACCCTGCCTTCAGCAGAGCAGAGGACTCACCACACCACTGGCTAAGTTCCTGGCCTAGAAAGAGAGCCCGACAAGCCACACATTGACCACGTCCCTGTCCCTAGGGTAACTTCAGACTTTGCCACATGCTGATTCCTACCAAGTGACACACTGACCCCTGACACTGGCCAGATTTCTCTGCTGCTGGTCCCTGTCTGGCCCTTGACCCCTGACTCCAGCCACACAGATTGACCTATAACCTAGCCAGATTTCCTGACCCTAGCCCAGACTGACCTATGACCTTTGCCACAGATTGTCTCCTAAACACAGCGGCAAATTCCATAGGCTGCCTCAACCCTTGACATCGGGTGACCCCTGATCCAGTCACAGAGTAATCCCTGACCCAGGCCACAATCAGAGTGTGACCTAGGCAGAGCTCTGGCCATCCTAGGAACAGTGGTCTAAGCCTAGACCTGTCACCAGTGACGCTACCTCTCCCCGCAGACCCCCACCAGAGCACACTGGGTCCTCTGACCCTCGCCCACCCCCCCTCACCTCCCAGCTTTGGTGATGATCATCTCTGTTCCCACGGAGTTGAACTCTTTCCACAGTTCCCGGTTCTCCAGGCTCAGGCTGACCCCAGGGAGTGAGTGAAGGGCCTCGGGGGCTGAAGGGGCTGGCTCAGTGCCCAGGACCGGGGGGAGAGGGGGCAGAGGTGGGGGTGCGGCCAGGGTACGGGGAGCAGCCTCAATCCCAGAGAGGAAGCAGTCCAGTTTGGGAGTGTCCAGATCTGGAGATGAGGGGAGGATAAGGACCCAGCTGAGGGCCACAGTATCCCCAGGTCCCCAGACAGGAGCGGTCCCCATGCTCACCCGGGTAGCGATAGCCCTCGGCCAGGGCAGGCAGGAAGCTGGAGTCTGCCCCAGGCTGAGGGGGGCCAAGGCGATAGCTGGTCCCCAGGGAGGGGTACAACTCCCGTGGATGGTACATGGAGTAGCCTGGTCTGGCCTCAGGTCACGCTGCCTAGAGTCCCCCCAGTGGGGAGGGATGCCCCCTTTATAGCTCGCTGCTCAGCCCCTTCCAGACCCAAGATCACAGCCCCTCCCCTCTTTGGGGCCCTGGAGTTGGGCTGGGGTGGAGACCCTTAGGGCCTCGGAGGGGTCCAAGAGGGGGCCGGATACCTGGGTAACCTCCCCTCCTCCTCCCTCCCCTAGGCGCCTTCATTAGTCCCGACCCCCTGCTCCCTCATTACATAATTAACTCCTCGGCCTGATTGATCCCCGGGGCTCGGATAGGGGACGCAGTTTGGCGCTTCCGGCCAGCTGGTCCCCGTTCCCACGGGGGAAGCCCCGGCTAGGAATAAACTACCGAGGGGCGGGGCCTGGACCCTGGGGACGAGCCCGGAGTCCTGGGGCAGGCATTGGTGCCCTAGACTTTTCTGGCAGGTGACACCCCTTTCACTTGGAGGATGGAGCTTAGAAGGAAGTGCAGGGCTGGAGGGATACGGGCTGAGCTTATTATTACGCAGGGACCTCGAGGAGTCCGCAGGCGAGGCTTGAACCCTGGGACTCCCCCTTGGTTCCCATTCTGAAAAACCTCCACCCTCGGCCAGGGCTCGGAAGTTTAGAGGTGCTCATAACTCCAGTTTCGCTGACGGCAGGTCCTGTGCTGGGGAACTACATTTCCCAGAAGGCCCAGCGCCGAAGCGCGGCACGAAGGAAACGGAGATCGCGCTGGGGCCGCTGGAAGTTGTAGTCTCGGCAAGACGGGCGGCAAAACCGGCGGCGGGGTTGCTTCCCAGAGGAGCTGCCCCTAGGCGGCGGCAAAACGCTAAAACCCAGACGACGGAGATTAGCCCACGACCGGGCCCAGGGAGCCAGCGTGGGCTCGCGAATCTCCATCGCCCGTGAGACCCATCCAGGGTCCCAGAGAAGATGGCTGAAGCCAGGACCCAGGAGCGAAGGCTCTCAGAATGGATGGCCGTGCCTGCCCCAACACCTGTCAGGGCTGAGAAAGGAGCTGGTCTGTAGGGCCAGGCGTCTGCATTTGAGTCCCCCCTTCCCGATTCCACGTGAGCCTGAACTGTCTCCACTCCATTGTTTTATTATTTACAAACGCTACAGAATGAAGGGTGCTGACGCGCGGGGTAAGAGGGGTCGGTGGAACGATACGTTTACCGGGCAGACTGGGTACTGGGACCTAAAGAGCAACACTAAGGCCATAGCTATGGGGCAGGTGGAGTAGAAAGGGTTTAAAAATGAGATCCAAGCCAGCCAGATCGCAGGAGAGCGGAGGTGCAGTCCCCCTTCCGATTTCCCCCCAAGGTCACAGTGCATGCAATAAAATATATGTACAGGAGCTGGGTCCTTCCTCTGCAGGGGCTCTGAGGGGCCGGGCGCCCTTCGTGAGGAAGGAGGCCAGTGGCGCCCCCTGGCGGCCAGGCCAGGCTGGAGCCACATGCGTCAGGAGCAGGGGTCAGTCAGTCCCAGCCATTGTCCTTAATCATGTGGTTGAGTTCAATGATGTATTTCCCCTCTTTGTACTTCTGGCTGCTTTCAAAGGCCTGTTCCTGAAAAGAGAGGAGGGGCGGTCATCCCTGGAGCAAGAGGCTTCCCAAGCTGTTGGAAGATGGGATGTGATTGGCCCCGTTTTACATATGAGGAAACTGTTGCCCAGAGAAGCCAAGCCACTGCCCACGGTCACACAGCTGGTAGATGGCAGAGCCAAATTTCTCACCATGGGGTAGAAAGGATATGAAGTATCTAAAACATTTCATATGCCAGGAGTTGCAAACTGGTGGCCCAGGGGCCACTTTCAGCCTGTGCCTATGTGCTGCTTGGCCAGCAGAGTTTGATAAAAAATAATTTAAAACACTGAAATACAGGCAGGCCAGGCTCATTCCAGTTTACCACAGACTCCTTCCCTAGAGCTCTACTGCCACTTCTGCAAATCTAGTTTCTGCTTGGCCTGGTCGGCACTTGAGTTCCTTGACCTCTGGAGGAGGACATCTCTTCATTTTACAGAAGCCCAGAAAGGCCAAGCACTTGCCCAGGTACATACAGCAAATCTGTGGCAGGGCCAGAGGTGAACTTAAGTCAGGGTTGTCTGCATGTCTGTCTCTGCCTGATGCGATCACCTCACAGAAGCCCCATACCTCCAAGCCAGGCCTGAGTAATCCTGTCCCCTGCACTTTTCCAAGACCATCCTCTGCTGCATTTAATCAGATCCCCAGAACAGTCTTGGGTGCCAGGCAGTGACTTTATCTTCAACTGCCAGAGAAGGAAATGTGACTCAGACTAGTGAAGTCAGACCCTGGACAGCAGCAGTGGCAGTGGGGACAGAGGAAAAGGACACCTATGGATCCAAGCTCCAGACTGCTGTCTCGGATCACCTCCCCCATCCTCTGAATGACAATCTAATCTGGTGGTCACCAGTTTGGAACAAAACAAACTAGGATTTTTGGTCCCTACTGGGTTACTCACCAGTTGTATGACCGTAGGCAAGTTACCTAACATCTCTGGGCCTCTGTTTCTCCTTCTGTAAAATGGAGGTAATAAAAGACTCTACCTACAAGATTGTTGTAATGACTGAATGAAATAATAAATGCCAAGCACGTGGCATACAGCATTCAATGAACAGTAACTCTGTGATTATATCCTCATCTCCAAAAGCCCTTGCAGAATGTAACAAAAGAATCGAGCACGGCCAGGGTGTCAAAAGGCAGTTTGACTTGTTTGCGCCAAGCCTGTGCACTTTGAAAGATCACCAAACGATTGGTGGTGAGGAACAAGTGATGGGATGCCAGGTCAAAGGAGAGCCTGGGGTCAGAGGTAACTGACTCACATATTTCCAACCCAAAGTGGTCTTGCAGTTCTCGCAGTGGATGTCAGCGACAGCATGGAGGCCTGTCAGCAGCACCCGCTCCTCGGCTGGCCCGCAGCCCACGTTCACCCTGTGGGGACAGAGGCAGTCCCAGGGAGGATCCCACTATCATAAGTCCTCTTCCACCGAAGGGTGATCATAGCTTCCTGCCTCAGGGAACTCTGGGAGCCTCAGCATGATGCCAGGGGTCACAAGTCACAGCAGAGGTCAGGGAATGAGATGAGGGAGACTGAATACTCACACAGAGTTGAAGAGGTAGGCACGCCCCTGACTGCCCTGGAAGGACTAAAGGGTGGGAAGAGGAGAGGAGGGGGTCAGGGCTAATTGGTGGGGAGCTGCCAGGCAGCCCCTCCGACCTCCCATTGCAGCCCACCTGTGGTCTGCTTACCTTGGAGATGAGGTCGTCGTGGTTGGCCAGGTGAGCGCGGCAGTGGGCACAGCTATACCTCCGATGACAATCATCCAAGTAGGCCTGAAACGTCTTGGGTTTTGAAATCCGCACCATGGCGGGGGCCGGGGGCAGTGGCCCCACGCGGGGAGCGGCCCACGGGGAGCAGAGGGAGCCCAGTGCCTGCCAGGGAGGGAGGCAGTGGGCTGTCAGGACCTGGGCCACACATGCAGGCACGCCCAGGGCCATGGGGACTCTCTGTCACTCTTGGCTGCTGTCTTTTCTCACCAGAGCCAGCAGCCTCCCCAGGGGCCAGAGTCGTCTCAGTTTTGACTCACTGAGGAGGCCTCAGGTTGCATGAACGTGGAAACTGAGGCTAAGGAGCTCAAGGTGAGTCACCCACCTGCTTCCAGGCTCACCACTGCTGGCCTGGAGGTTGAAGCTGGAGGAAGGGGCTTTAGAGTGCACAGGCTGTCAGTTCCCAGTTTAGGGGGGCACATGGAAGGTTAAGAATTATGTGGTCCTTGGGACCTCATTTGGACTGTGGGGGCTTCACTAAAGATACAGAGAGTTCACCTGGAGAGAAGGTCCCTCACCTAGAGGGGGCAAGAGGCCTCACTGAAGGCGGAGGGTCAGCTACAAGAGGAGGGGCTCTTACCTGGGGGCACTGAGGCCTTACTATGCAGAAAGGATCTTACCTGCATCGCGGAGCCTTACCTGGGACCCTGGAGCTCACCTGGGGCGCGGGGGGGGGGTAGGGAGCGGGCGCCGGGGGAAGGGGCAGTCCTCTTGGCTGGGCGGGGGCGCGGGGCCTCACCTCGCCTGGGCGCGCGGGGGCCCGGTCCGCCGGAGTGGCCTGGCCTAAGAGTGGGGGGCGCTCCTAGTGGGCGCCGTCCCCACGGCCCGGGTTAGCAGCCGCCGCGACTTGTTTACACCGAGACCAGCTGCTGCCGCCGCTGCGGCGGGAGGGGGAGGGGGACGGCCTCTCGTCCCGGCGGCGGCCGTGGCCAATCGGCGTGCAGCATGCAAATGAGGGGGCGCGCCATCCGGCGGCCAGCGCAGGCCCGGCCTGCCCTTCCCCCTGCTCCGGACCCTAGCCGGCCCGGAAATGCGGCTGCGGCCGGCTACCCAGCCCGTGGGCCTGGGCCTGCAGCGTCCTGGACCCGGGCGCCCTTTTGGCCCCTGGTGGTCCTTGAAGGGACAGGGACCGGGAGGGGGCGGGGCGGTGTCTGGACGCATGCACCTTGAAAATAATAGTCGTAACTACCAGCGTTTTCCACCGCCTGCGCCTCCCTCTTATAATCCCTGCGACGTATCCCATAAGGCGGTTCCTACTATTGTCCCCAAAAACGGAGCAAATGAGGCCCAGAGATGTCTAGCTAATCTCCCAGGGTTATCCAGCTGGTAAGAGACAGATTGGGATTCTCACTTTGGTCCGATTCCATAGTTTTTGCCGTAGCAGCAGGCAAAGACTCAGAATGAATTAGAATGAATTCCAGATCCTGGAGCAGGCCGGCTCCATTGTCCAGTATCACCTCCCCCAAGCAGTCTCTACCCAAGTCCCTACCCCTGGGTTGGGTGCCTCCCTCAGATTCGGTGGAAGATGTCTGTTTAAACACGTCTATCTGGCTGGTCTTGCCTTTTCAGCGCTGGTACCCCAGTACCCAGCCTGGCCTGGCAAACATTTGTGAAATATGTCAACTGATAAATGACTAACGAACCAGTGCTGGGGAGGGCCGAGGACTACAGGGAGCTTGTTCAGAAGCCAGGCTTTCCAGAGGGAAGGTTGAACTGCTGAGGCAGCAGATGGGGCTGTGTCAGCTGTCCTGTTGCTACCCACCCTCTGCTGCCCAGGGGAGGGGAGCCCCACAGGGGCAGGATGTGGGAGAATCAAGTCCCTTGCTGCATGCAGTGAATGGCCTCAGGAGAATGGAACCATCAACTGTGGCACTCAAGGAGCTGAGGGCCAAGACACCTGGGTTGGCCCTGCAAGGGACATTCCTGAGGACAGCATGGCCGGCTGGCACAGGGTGTAACATTACTCTGGGTCAGGAATGTAGTGGAACCAGTGGGTCAAACTGGTTAGAGCCCTAGGCCCTGGCCCCGGGCCTTCTTTGCCCTCAGCTGCCATGTTTATCAAGGATGCCCTCCTAAGCACAAACACATGACTGAAAAGAAAATATTTATTGCTGTTGTGAGGCTGAGTGGACAGTAGAATGGAACACTGCCTGGCCCCGCAGCACCATTGTCACACTGTTGCTGTGTCTGAGGCCGGTGTTGTAGCCACTGTGTCGATCCATCACGTCAATGGTCTTCCTTTTTTGCTGATATTTATTGGGAAAGAGGAACAGGAGAGAGTGAAGGCCTCTGGGCTCAGGAGGTCGCTCTGTGGCTGTCCAGATAGCGCCTCAGGGCAGTGGGGTAATCGGTTATGACACCAGTGGCCCCCAGGCCAAAGGCCACTTCAAAATCCGACTCTTCATTAAGGCACCAAAATATCACCTGAGTAGGGAGGAAGGGCTTGTAGTTTGCAAACAACTCAACTTTACCTGGAGTGTTGCTTTATCTCCTCTTCTGTGAGCCCACCCAGCAGTGGCATGCTGTGGCGGACTTAAATTCTCAAGAATTTTGTAAACTGGCTATTAAACACAGGTGCTATTAAAAAGTAAATTATATGCACGTATAATTTTAAATAAAGTATGTTAAAAACAAAGGTAGTAAGTATTCAAAATTCATTACTTTCTAAATATTTTTCTATATTTTAAGTTTATGTTCTAAGATTTTCTGTATGGTGGCAATGCTATAAAATGGAGGGCTACCACACATCTTTTCCCAACTCTGCATTTAGTGACTTGTTGGTAGCTTAAAAATGATCAGTTGTTGTTGTTGTTGTTGTTATGTGCCATTGAGTCGGACCCGACTCATAGCGACCCCTCCTTGGGTTGCTGAGACAGTATCACTACGGAAGTAGATTGCCCAGCCTTCCTTCCGAGGAGTGGCTGGTGGGTGGTGAAATTGATCAGAGCTAGGAGTATTTACAGGAGCTCTGGTAGCATAGTGTCTAAGGCACTTGACTGCTAACCAGAAGGCTGGCGGTTCAAACCCACCAGCCACTCCTTGGAAGGAAGGTTGGGCAATCCTACTTCCGTAGTGATACTGCCTCGGAAACCCAAGGAGGGGTCGCTATGAGTCGGGGCCGACTCGATGGCATATAACAACAACAGGAGTATTTATACCAGGGACATTGACATGGCAATCAAGGCCTTTTTGGTTTTTCGGTAGCTGGCTTTTGAACATTAACCAGTAGCCGCAGCTTCCCAGCGGGTGATGAGGTAGGTGGAGATGGCACTTTTAACCCAGTCAAGTCACTGGACCTTCAGTGTTCTTAATCTGACAAATGACCTGGATTGACAATCTCACAGGACTGAGGTCCTTGAAGTCAGAGGGCTGATCTGAGAGCTCTGTCATGCCCATGCCCCTCTCCCCTACATCCAACCAGCAGCTGGGTCCCAGCCTCTTTCTCTGGGAGTTAACTCTTCCATCTGTCTCCACTGCTGCCACCCAGGCCCAAGGCCTATCAGTGGCAGGAGTGGCCTCCTAGGGGGCTCTCTGCTGCCATACTGGTTCCCCACAATCTCCTCTCCATATGGTGGCCAGAGTAACCCTCACCTCAACAAACCTGTATTGGATCAGTTCTCTCCTCTCTTTTTCAAAACCCTCAAGAGCTTCCTTCCCCTTTGGGCTGAAGTCCCAGCTCCTTACTTGGATCACAGGGGCCTCGGCCTCAGCTGCCATCCCCTACCCGGCATGTGCTGCTTCTCCAGGCTGCGGCCTGTGGAACCCCTCTGTTCCTTGAGCACCCTGCCCTCCAACTGCTCCAGCCTCCACTGGTAACCCTCCTGCCTGAGATGCTCTCTCCCACTCTGAGCTGCTTCCTCTCCCCTTCATGTAGCTGCTCACACCTCACTTCTTCAGAAAGGCCCTCCCTGACCTCATGGATCATGTTGTTGCTTTCTGTCCACTCACTGCCCTTGTGATGGCCTGCTTCGTTTCTTTCCTCTACCCTAACTGTAAGCTCCCTAGTCTATCCCCAGTAACAGTACCTAGGACATAGTACATGCTCAATAAACCAAACCCACTGCCATCGAGTTGATTCCAACTCATAGCCACCCCCACTGGGTTTCCAAGGCTATAAACCTTTACAGAAGTAGATTGCCTCATCTTCTTCCCATGGAGCAGCTCATGGGTTTGAACCACCAACCTTCTGGTTAGCAACCAAATGCCTTACCTGATACACGACCAGAGCTCCTTTACGTGCTCAATACCAAATGCAAAACCACTGCCGTCGGAGTCCATTCCGACTCACAGCAAGCCCCATTTGGTTTCCAAGGTGATAAATCTTTATGGAAGTAGACTGCCTAGTCTTGCTTCTGTGGAGTGGCTGGTGGGTTTGAATCACCAACCTTGTGGTTAGCAGTCAGATACCTTAGCCACTACACCACCAGAGCTTCTTACATGCTCAATAGAGGTTTGCTAATTGAATGACTTGGTTACAGCAGATGCCCAGGTGAGGAGGAAGGGGTTGGCTGGTTTCCCCTTCTCTGGTCTTTCTCAGTCCCCTCATCAAGGATCAAGATAGTAAATTCAATAAATCATCACCTTCACATCTGTCAAGTCCTAACTCAGTACCAGTTACATATCCTGAAGAGTGAAATACTACCATAGCCCGAGTCTACAGATGAAGAAACAGATCAGAAGTAAAGCGACCTGCCCAAGTGACTCAGCTCTCTAGGGGCACAGATGTACCGGAACCCAGCTGGCAGGCCCATGCCCTGAATCACCTGCTTGATGAGGGAGTATGGTTAAGTCCTACCTGGATCCCTCGCTCCTCCAAGTGTCGGATCAGACTTTTCCTCATGATGAACCTGGGTGGGGAGGTGGCAAGGGCGATGATGAGAAAGGTCAGAGAAAGGCAGGAGTGGATCTCTGTGGGGACACACAACCCAACCTTCTTGCCCACCTCACCATTTTGAAGCCACAGCCGCCAGCTGGTTCAGCCCAGGGCAGGAAAATGGGAAGTAGCTCCTGGGGAGAGAAGGTGTTGGGGGGCATCAGCCGTGTTGGGTGGGGTGGGGTGGTACTGCCTCCCTTGATCAGTGTGAACATCACCCTCCAGAAGAAGTTTTGCAGTTCCCCAAATAAAAATTCACCCTCTGTTCAGCAAGCTCCTACTCCGTTATCCTTGAGTCCATGCTTTGATGTCGGGGTGTGCCCCTCCCCTCACAATTTTGAAGAAACTATCTCAGAGAGGTAAAGTAACTTGCCTGAGGTCACATAGTGAGTGTGTCGTGGGGCAGGACCAAAACCCAGTTTGATTCCCAAGCCGGACACCCAGTCTGGAGGTTGTCCTGGTTGGCCCTGATCAATTTATTGAGACGAGACAGGGCTTACTGAATTAGCTCAAAAAGACCAAACTCACTGCTGTCCAGCTGATTCCGACTCATAGCGACCCCACTGGGTTTCCATCTGGTAAATCTTGATGAAAATAGATTGCCTTATCTTCTTCCTGTGGAGCAGCTGGTGGGTTTGAAGCACCAACTTTCTGGTTAGCAGCCAAATGCCTTAACCACCGTATCACCAGAGCTCCTGAATTAGTCGGCTACTTGCCCCTAATTGTTCCATTCTAGGGGGAACTTTGGATGCCCTTTTAAGTTCAGGCAGGCTTTGGAGCCAGACCTAGAGCAAACCTAAGCTGTGTACTTCCAGCTGTGTGACGCTGGGCACATCACAGAGCCTCTCTGAGCCTCAAACGCTCCATGAGAACCATAGGGTCATGATTCCTATACCTCCTGGGGGTGCTTAAAATTCAGTTAAACTAAAAGATGTGCAATTACTTTGCAAACCCAGTAGAAAAAGTGAAGGACACAGAATTTGTACTCTAATGATCTCTCTGTAGCAAAGGCTTGTAGGGCCTGCTTAGGATCTTCTCTCAGGACAACAGAGGGAGCAGAGAGCCTTTGGGACCACTTCTCAGGAAGCCAAGGGCAGACCTGAGAGGCAGGGAGGTATCCATAGCCCTGATACCTTATTCAGCTCCTTACTTAGCCTTTAAGGAGCTCTGATGGTGCAGTGCCTAAGGCATTTGACTGCTAGCCAGAAGGTTGGCAATTCAAACCCACCAGCCGCTCCACGGAAGGAAGACAGGGCAATCTACTTCCATAAAGATTTACCGCCTTGGAAACCCAGCAGAGGCAGGCATCCACTCCATTGCAATGAATTTGGTTTTCAGTTTTACTTGGCTGTTACTTTGTTAATCTTTGTCTACTAGCAGGCCTTTTCTTTTCAGAATCTGAAAGAGTGTTGCTATAACTAATTAGTATCTGTCTCCTCAGGAGTCTGTAAATTCACCAAGGGCTTCTCCACCCCACCCTGGTCTTATCGCTAATGTAACTGCACCTGGCACAGTAAGCAGTCAATAAACATCTGTTGAGGATGAATGGATGAATGAGCGAGTGAAGAAATGAACTCTGTCCCCTAAAACTTCACTTCAGTACACATTTGCATCTAATTTCAGGGGGCTCATGGCTCCCATAAGGAGCTCTGGTGATGTAATGCCTAAGGCATTTGACTGCTAACCAGAAAGTTGGAGGTGCAAACCCACCAGCTGCTCCACAGAAGGAAGAGCGGACGATCTACTTCTGTAAAGATTTCCCGCCTCGGAAACCCAAAGGGGGTCTCTATGAGTCAGAATCGACCCGATGGCAGTTGAGTTTGGTTTGAGTTATGGCTCCCTTAGTATCAGTAAATGCCGGAGAAGAGCCATTGACTGTCTTCAAAAGGCTCTGGGGTTAGGTTTGAGGGAGACCAGGCATGTGGGGAGATGTAAGTCCCCTCCAAAGCCAGGTTGAGAGGACTCAATGGGCTAGACCACAGGGCTCTGGGAGAGTCCTGCCCCTGCCGCCAGTACCTGTTGATGATGGTGGGCAAGAAGGAGATGAGGAATCTCTCAGGGATCGGGATGAAGGGTAGCAGCCCCAGATAGTAGAGCAGCAGTACCCAGAATCCTCGGCTTAGTGTGAAGGAGAAGGGCATCTCAGGGTTCTGGAGAGACAAGGGGAGAAGTAAGAAAGGGAGTGTGTCTGCTTCAGGGAAGGACGAGTGGTGGCTTGGGCTGTAGGACAACAGCTTCGGACTTCCAGGGGCTCACTACTCCCTTTGGAGCCGAAGTCAGATCTTGGCCCATCGCTGGAGGCCTAAGCGCAGCCTCCTCAGTCCCATCATGTGCCTCTCTCTGCACCTCCCCCCACAACCCACCTCTCCACAGCCTCTCCTTTGAGACCTTGCTTAAGAACCAGTTCCTCCAGAAGTCTCCCAGATGCCTCTGGTCAGGCCCCTGAGGTTGGGTTGGATTCCAGCTCCTGGAAGGAAGGGCCAGTGGGGAACCGAGTGGGGAGGGAAAGTGGACTCACAGCAGCCTTGCATTTCTGCATGACTGAGCTCTTCTCTGAGGCCCAGATGGTGATTTCGTTGCGGTCAAAGTGCCTCACCAGGTCTGCTATCTGGGAGGAGGAGCAGGAGGTAAAGGGGAGAGCCAGGCTTCACTTCACTACCTGGAGCTACCACCCTGGGCCACTGCCCTCACCCCCAGTCACAGTGCCACCTTGTGAATGAGCTCTTCGTTCTCCCTTTTGACTTCCACGCTCATGGGTGTCCGCGGGAACTTCTGGAACACGTCCTCCAGGCGCACCATGTGTCTGTCTGACCCGTGAGCAAAGTGGCCTGGGGAGGTTGGGGAAATGGGATCAGAAAACGGGTGGTGGGGAGGAGGACGTTGGGGCAGGGAATGAGTCCAGAGAAGAAACAGCAGGAGGTTGAAGCGATGACCCTACCCAGGTCCACAGCCCAGGCTCAGCCCAGGGATCACAGCCCAAGCTCTCACCGGGTGAGAAATAGACCTCCAACTCCTCCTTGTAGAGAGGCAGGTCCTGCAGGGAGAGAGCAGGGAGGATGTCACAGGAGACATGAATGGAGGTGTGGTGATTCTCTGGGGTACGGGGGTGGGTGGGTGGGGTGGGGCTGCGATAAGGCCCACCTCGAAGTCCAGGCTGCCCACATCCCTAGCCAGGCCTGACTGGCGTAACAGGTTCTCATCGTGGGACACGACCACCACACCATCCCTTGTCAGCTGGCAGTCAAGCTCCAGGAGGTCAGCTCTCTGGGCCAAGGCACTGTGGGAGCAAAGGTCAGTGAGGGGGAGAGAAGGGGGATGGGGCCAGACTGCAAAGTCTGAGGGAGGCTTTTGGGGAGATGGGGTGGAGCTCGAGGTGAGGCGTGCAGGCTGTGCACTGACTGCACAGTTCCACGGTGTGTCAATCACCAGACGAGGAAGTAAGTGTGTCCTGCCACACACACCCAGCCCCACCTGGCATGGCCACTGCGGGTTAGGGAGATGCACCTACTTCTCCATGGCCTCCACGGTGTTCTCCAGCCTCTCTCCAGATCCTGTGTGGGGCAGCCGGAGTGGGTCCCTGATGTCGGGGCTCTAGGAGCCCAGCCTGCCATTCTCACCCCACAGTCCCCCTGGCTGGCTTCCCTCCTGCCTGCCCCTGCGATCGCCTGCCCCATCACCCCCCAGGCCACCCAGGTGCTGCTTCTTCCCCGTTCCATGCACTGCCCTCTCTCTCCTCCCACTTCGGAATCTGCCCCTTGTCTACAATCCTGCCCCTGGGACCTACTCACTGCTGTCCACCCTGCACCTGTCTTGCTATCCCCACTCCATCCCGCTTCGCCTAGGCCCTCTTTCCCCTCTCCCCCCACTCAGCTGACCTCCTCGGTGGGCCCCCAGGCGGACACAGAAGGCCTGAACCTGGGGTGTGTGCAGCAGGCGTGGTCGACGCAGGAAGAAGATGGAGAGAATGACGTAGGTGCCCAGGGCAGGCAGCGCATAACACAGCAGAGGGCTCATGGCCACACTGCCGCTCGGGGCTCTGGCTGCCACGAGCTCAGTGTCCCTGATGGATTATGCTGTCGCGCTGCCTGTCTGGCCAGTGTAGGCTGGCTCTACTGCTGGCTGCCACCACGCCCCTGGGACCTGCTGAGCTTGCTGCTGGCTGGAAGCCAGGCTGCAGGCTCTTCTGGGGCTTGGGGTAGAGGCAGGTGCAGAGGCAGGTGCAGAGGCAGCTGGGGTCACACAACCCTAGACCCATCAGTGGCCTCAGCATCCTTATCCTCAGCCACGCCGGGGGAGCGAGGTTCCCCCTGCCTCCAGCAGATCTGCTGTGATGTTTGCCCTCCCACTGGCACATGTGGCCAGAGAACACATCTGCTATTATCATTTTCAAAGAATCCAGGGGTGTGTAGGGTGCACCTGAGTCACCCCCCAAATCAACCCCAGCCAGTTAGACAGGAAGCCAGTAGAGGGGGCAAGGACAGTGACTAAGAAGAAAATTGACCCCATTCTTGCCAGGAGTCTGGAATTCCTTACAGCTGGCCAGCTGGGTGGGGTGACGGTGGGCAAGCAGAGGTCACCGAGGTCCAATAAAATCACAGCTGGCAGGCGGCTGGCCTGCTGGAGCCAGTCCTCAAGGCAGCATTATTAGGGCTGGGAGTATCGGCGAACACAGACAGAGCCAGGGGAGTCCATGTACACATCTCTATATTTATATATTAGATACAGGCACAAGGAGGTGGGCAGCGGGCACTGGCCCACCACGTGCCCCCACCTCCCTTCTCTTTACCCACACACAGAAGCAGCAGGGCATTAAATGGGGCAGCGTTGCAGGGGGAAGGGCTGAGGCCTGGGCCCCCGCTCCTCAGGGATACTAGCCCTTGAGACTCAGAAGGAATGTTCCTTTAGGGAAAATTGGGTGGGGCTTTGATCAGGTGAGTAGGGCGAGGCTAGCCCAGAGTCCCTACTCAGTGTCCCTGGCTCCTTACTGCCCCTTAGTAGGTGTTGGGGCAGGCAGGGCCCTTTGATTCCAGAACTACCAGAGACTGGGAGAGCTGGGGGAGGTGCAGGCAGAGCAAAGTGGTGGGGGGGTTGCTTTGGGGTCTCCTGAGCCCCTCAGGCCCTGGAGGGAGAAACGAGGAAAGGGAGGAAGGTCGGAGTCTGCCTGAAGTAGGAGGCTCCAAGCACAGGGGGAGAAGGTGGCCAGGCCCACCCTCTGCGCAGGCCGGGGCTGTGGGGGTCTGGGCTGGGCACGTGGTGTCCATTTTCTAACAGTCCAGCAGGGGAGGGGCAGGCAGGAGGCAGGGCCTAAATGAAAAGGCAGGTAGGTAAGGAGCCGTTAGTATGCAGGAGAGGCCCTGCCAGAGCCCTGACCTCCATTTCTCCCATTGCTTCCTTACAGCCAGGTAGATATTTAGCCTCTCTGTATCTCACTTTATCTGTAAGACGGTGATAATAATATAATCTATCTCAAGGTGTCGCTACAAGGATTAAGAGAGTTAATACGTGGAAGCCTCTCACAACAGTGCTTGGTGCTATGTAAGTGTTTGCTGTTATTATTAGAACAGTCTCCAGGAAGTCGAGGCACAGAAAGGCAAGATGTCTTGTACAAAATCACACAGCTCTTAAGTGGCACAGCTGGGGTCTGAACCCAGGTCTGCCTGCCTTCTTTCCACCAGGCCACAGCTGGTGAAAGGCAGGAAGGAGACTGGGGAAGGAGAAAGCTCGGCAAGGGTAGGGGTAGGGGCAGCGTTCCCCAAAGGCGTGTGAACTGCACTAGGTATAAGTAGGCTGCCATCTAGGTCAAAGGAGGTGCTGCCAGGTTCCTCCCAAAGCAGTCAGTGCCCCACCCACCTCTCTGCCCACACTGGGAGTCACAGCCTGGCTCCGTTCCTCAGATATGAGAGGGGCCCCCAATAACCTCTGTGGGCCTGGAATGGCTCCTGGGGCTGGAAGGTGCAGGGTATTGTCAGGGAGGCATGTGGAACTAGGGGCAAGAGGATGGGAGAGACCACAGCTCTGTGGCCTGGGCAGGCTCTGGGCCCTTCTCTTGCCACCACACACGTAGCTTGTGGGTGTGAGGTCAGCTTGAGGCTATATGGAGGCATGTTGAACAATGTGGCATGAAGACAGTCTGTGCCTGGGTGGTGGGGAGTGCTCACCAGGCCCCAGCGAGCAGGCGCACCTCCAGGTTAGGGGGCCTCTAGGGCCCCAGGCTGGAAACGGGCTGTCTCTTGGAAGATGAGCTCCTTCAGCCGCTCCTTGGGTAGATCATCCAGTTCCATGTCAAAGGTGAAGGGCTCCTCGGCCACGGGCTGTGGTGGCAAAGACGGCAAGGGATCAGGTGAGCCCTCGGGGTTGGCCGCCCGTCCACCTACCCGCCAGCCTTGCTGCTGGAAGCTGACCCACCTCATCTGTGGGGTCGTAGTACTGCTCCAGGTAGGGGTGGGCAAGTGCTTCCTCCACTGTGATCCGTTTGTTGGGGTTAAAGGTCAACATCCGGTCCAGCAGTTCAAGGGCTAGGGAAGGGCAGGAATCAGGGGTCAAAGGGAAAGTCCCAGGAGTTTCCAGAAGCAGTATTCTACTTCTTAAGTGCCCAGGGGCCTGCGGACTCAGACAGCTGCTGGGCTCGTGCACCCTCCACACTCAGTTTTTATTCCATACCAGTTCCCCAGGTCTCTCTCACCTTTGGGGTCTGACTTGGGAAAAAGCTTAGCCCAGGCCACCTTGGTCTTGGAAGGCAAAGACTGTAGGTAGTTTCGGGCCTTCATGTTGATGATACAGTTCAGGTCCTCCTGGGATGGAGAGCCCAGAATACCTGTGGGTAAGGCAGGTGACTTGGTGAGAGATTTCTTCCCCTGCCGACAGAAGAACAGGAAGGAGCCTAGATCAAGAGCCCCTCCCGCGGTGATCTGCTGCAGGCCCTTAGAGTCACCTCGCCAGGTGGCGAAATGTAAGGGGTCTGCAGTCAGGAAACCCTAGGCTCAAATTCTGCCTCAACGACTTCCTAAGTGTGAGGTTTGGCCTCGTTCTTCCCATCTGTCAAATGGGGGTGTTAGTAATACCTCAATGAAATATTGTGAGATGATACAGGGACTCCATATGTGGCCCTACAGATGGACCGACCCTAAAGAATTCTTATTTCTGATCAGCCAGTCTCCCTCCCACTCAGCCGGCCAGGGCCCCCTCACTCAGAATGTGGTTGAGCTGGTCCAGGTAGTGCTTGCCGGGGAATATGGGCCGGTTGGAGAGCATCTCGGCCAGGATGCAGCCCACAGACCAGATGTCGATGGACTTGGTGTAGCCCTAGGGAGAAAAAGAAAGGGATGGGCTCCTGAGCCAGCCTTAACCCAAGGCCCTGCTGTCTGGGCCAAGCCATTATGCCCACCCCAGATCCAGCACCATCCAGGGAGGGCAGAGGCCTGTGGGAGCAAAGGGTTTGCCTCCGTCCGCAGCCCGAGGGCTGCAGCGATGTGAAAAAGCCCAGGGGATGGACTACCTGCATTGTGGGGGTCAGTGCCTAGCTCAGAGGCTGCCCAGGGCTTTCTGGGACCTGGCCCACTCCCTACAGGGAGCTCCCCTACCTTGGAGTTGAGCATGATTTCTGGCGCCCGGTACCAGCGCGTAGCCACGTACTCTGTCAAGAAGCCAGTGTGGTCGTGCTCAGGATCGGCGATCCGGGCCAGGCCAAAGTCACAGATCTGCAATCAAACCCAGGCTGCTAGGCTCGGTGCGCCACAGCCCAAGCCATCCTGTACACAAAGCTCCCCGCTCCCCTATAGTAAACAAAGGGCTACCATTATGCCTCCATGAACCCTGCTTCCTCCAGGAAGCCTTTCCTGATAGTCTTAGCCACTAAGGAGTTCCTAAAACCTTTGCTATGCCTTTTGGCTCTCCGGAAACAGGAAGCTCACTTCCTGAGGTAGCCCTACTCCTTTTCCAACTGCCAGCTAGAAATTCTTCCACAGGCTAAGGAGAAATCTGTCTCCAGGCTCACTAGGACCCCACAGAGCCATTCATCCCAGCTCTGTCAGCAATGTGGAGAGTAACTGTAAGCCCAGTGGGGCAGAGAGAGCAAGGCTGGCTCTAAGCTAGCCTCTCCACCTGGGAGAGGGGAGAAGCACCCAAATCCCTGACCTTAAGGTCACAAGTGGTGTTGATGAGCAGGTTGGAGGGCTTTAGGTCTCGGTGGAGCACGTTGGCCGAGTGGATATACTTGAGGCCCCGCAGGATCTGGTAGAGGAAGTAGCAGACGTGGTCATTGCTCAGCTGCTGGCTTTTGAGCAACTTGTACAGGTCTGTCTCCATCAAGTCCTGCACGATGTAGCTGAGGGTGGCACCAACGACCCCCACCCCAGGCCGGGGGTAGCAGGAGGCACCGAGTTAAGGAAAGTAGGCCCTGGTGACTAGACTGCATGTCCCCTCCAGCTGGGGCCCTGTGGACACAGGAAATCTGTCAGCCAATATTATTAGCCAGACGAGGCCCATACTCAGTAATAGGCTTTGGAGGTCTCTTCACATCTCAAGCAGGAGCTCAGGTGGTGCAGTGCCTAAGGCATTTGACTGCTAACCAGATGGTTGGCAGTTCAAACCCACCAGTAACTCTGAGCAACGCATTTAAATTCTATGGCTCAGCTTCCCTGAGCTCTGAGAGGTAGAACTTCACAGTTAACAGCACCAGCCTTGGAGTTAACACACCGATGTTTGAAATCCCTACTCTACCACTCACTGGCTTTGTGAACTATTCGTCCCTCTATTTCTGCACCTGTAAATGGGGGAATGAGAGGACCTGTGTAAGGCAGTCAGCTTGGTGTTTGACACATGATAAGTACTCAGCAAACATCAACTGTTATTACTATTATAAATATCTGTGCCACACGGGTGTTGAGAAGGTTAAATGAGATAATGTATGAATACCATCTGGCATGCACTAAATATTTGCTTATTTTTAAATGCCTGCCTTATGGGAATAGTTTGTGCAAGGAAAATGAGGAGATATTCCCAACAGTTTACTCCTA